TGAAATAATCCATTTAAAATCCAATTGGTTTTTCTTCCACAGATGCATATGTATAAATTTGTATATATATCTGTAACAGAAACTGGTCTTTGGACAAATCCTGATTGCACTATTTTTAAAACACCATTAACTTTCCTTCCTTTCTTTCTTTCTTTTTTTTGAGGCAAAATTATTGCATAAAAGTTAGGCAAGTCAAGAAAGATATGAGGTTAAAGATTATTTTTAATTGCTTAAAAGTTTGAAAAGATCATTTTTTTAAACCCAGAGGAGCAAAAGCTTTTCACAGATGAAGGAATACTTTCTTTAAAATATAAAGAATTTCTAGAAATTGACATATAGCTCAATTTTTACAGATTTGCTACAGTATGTGTACACTTGCCAGAGAGAGAGAGAGAGAGAGAATGAGAAAGTGTGAAAAGCAAGAAAGCACCTCCCCAGGGGTGATGGCCATACTTCAATCCCTTTTCCTCTATTTGCTTCTTGGGATTTAGGGCATGCATACAAAGATGCCCTGTATGTTTTTCAAACTGCAAGCTTTAGGACTAGAGCTGTGCAACTGGTCATGTGGAAGCTAGCTGCTTTAACCGCCACACCACTGGCTGGCCCATAAGTGAAAGTAAAATTGGGGAAAAGTTAAAAACCGTGCACAGAAAAAGAAATACAAATGATTCTGAAACATGGAAAAGATGTCAAACCTCATCACAGAAAGGAACATAAAAATTAAAATGATTGATATTCCTTTTGTCATCTAACTGATTGGTAAAATTCAGAAGTTTGGCCTCACAATGTAGTATGCACAAGAGGCCATGGAGAAGACACATTCTCATGCATTACTGCCAACAGAAGTAACAGGTACTCCTTTGAACGACAGATTAGTAGAAGTATTCAAAATTATAATGGTCAATATTTATCGACTTTTAAACACCACTTCCCCTAATTTCTCCTTCAGATATACTTGCATACATATAATGTATATTTTTATATATACAAAATTATTCACTGAATTAATATTTATAATAAGATTGGAAATAGTCAAATGCCCACAGTTAGGGAATAGGTTGAATCCATATAGCACACACACAAAAAACAAATATCTAGGAGACAAGAGGGACTCCACATTGGCTTACTCTATAAAGAGACATAAGAAGACCTACAAGATGCACTAATGAGAAAAACAAGATGCAGAATTGTGTTTAATAAGGGAAAATGAATAGAAATATTCATAACCTTTTACATTTACATAAAAGAAAGAAATATTAGAAATGAATCAACTGGGGTCCAGCAGTTGGCATAATGGCTATGTCGCTGGACTCCCATGTAGTCAACCATGGTTTGAGTCCCAGTGGCTTGAACTCATGTCAGGTGTGTGTGCGTGTGTGCCCAGGATCCCAAGAGGAGAATGGAGGAGAAGGGATTGTAGTGTGGCAATCCTCCCCGGGGGGGGGGGGGGGTTTTTTACTTTCTGTTTTTCTGTCTCTGTCTCTGTCT